GAATTGATTTGTTAGGTAAGTTTAACTAGATATTAGCTATTTTAAAAACAAAATCAGTCTTTTACCATGATCATAATAAAATGTCTACTGCGACATTTTCTCATGCCTTGGACAATACGCTTACTTAAAATTTATTTTTCACATGTTTTTGTGATTATTAAAGAGAAACCTCATTATAGGCAGAATATATATAAGTCAAAATAGGTGTTAGGAGCTGTGTTTTACAGCCTTGTTTTTGTTCCAGTTGTTCAGTAAGACCTCTTCCACAGGCTTATTTTAAAATATGTAACCAGTAACAGGTTGTTGCCTGTATATCACCTAACAATTAGTTGGAAGGTGAGAATTTAAATAAAAGAGCTATTTTTTTTTACATCATTAGGTAATATTATTATACAGAGAAGTAGCTATACCAAAAAGGATACCTAATTAAACTTCTACCTTCCAAAAAACAAGCATCAAACTAAAGTATGCTTCTTACATTTGTAACAAGAAATTTGTAGCAACTAAAGCCACTTTGTGGCTGGCAGAAAAGTGTGTTTCATGTTAAGATTCAGAGAGAAAATTCAGAAATATTTGATGTTTTCTAATCAATGACTTAAGGCTTTTGCCTCTTAGCACTGAATACATGTTATCGTGCACTTCTGACTTTAATTGGTACAGAGCAATGTGAAATGTAATTTAATATCTAGCTAGAAACATGCATCATGTAGTAAAGCTAACCAAAAAAAGAAATTCATTGGTTTGGGGGGCTTTTTTATTTTTTTTGTTAAATTCTGGATATTAGTATTGCGTTTTATTTTATGAAGTTTTTAATGGTTTGGTATAAAAATTTTTGATATTGACTGGGAAGCAAATCAGAAAAAGAGAACTAAAAGGTCCACTGAGCCCAGCAGCTGAATAACCAGACAGTTTGGGGGCCCAGACTGATCCTGGAAGCCATGTAGCAAAGCACCAGAAGCTGGAAAAACAGGTTTTATCAGAATGAACATTTCTATCAATCTTACTGACTGTAACAATTTCATATCACTAATATAAATTAACCATTCGAATTTTTTTTATATTAAAATGTTAAGAAGAAAAATTCGTTGATATAAAAACTGGTCTTTCCCTTCTTAACACAGACAAAGAAGGAGTAGAATCATAGAACCATAGAATCATCAAGGTTGAAAGAGACCTCCAAGATCATTCAGTCCAACCTTGGAAGAGAGTTGGAGAGCTGAGGTCTCCTTTCTGTGTTTTCTGCCTGAACTCTAACCTTTGCAGACCAGAACACTTTTCATTTTCCTGCTGGCTTGATGAATTCATTAATCCTTTCACAGAATGGCACTTTAGTAATATGAATGGAAGATAGAGCACATAAATGAATACACATATTTGTATTAAAACTGCCTCTCTATACATGTCATTTTGTATCAAGGCTGATGAAATAAATGACGTTTTTTGATTCTTTCCCCTCTATCTGAAATAAGGATTAAACTGATATGTTCAGTTTCTGTATAAGTGCTGTAACTCCCTAATTTGCGATATATATTTTTAAAATAAATAAATCAAGAGAGACTGTAAGTAGCATTTCTGATTGATTTTTGCATACTTTGTGTTAGTGATAGTATTATTGGCTTGAGCCTGTCAGAGGACTGCAGAGACTATCTAGATTTTCAAACCTCAAATACTAGCTAATATGAAACCGTTTTTCCTTGGAGTGGTGTTTTTACAGGCCCATGGAGAAATGTGTGGCAATTCTGTGAGGGCAAGGTGAGGGAGTACGGCAAAAAAGAGGCACTAATATAAGAACTAATACTAATACAATACTAACTAATACTTATGCAAGAATGTCCTTATCCGTTTATCACATCCTGCTGCAATCTCATAGTCTTATTTTTTTTTTTCCTAGGATGTAGGATTGGGAGTCAATTTCACAAGGTTAAAGAGCTTAGATTCTCTGTGATCTCCAAGTGAAATGAATTAGTTAATGTGTCTCCATAGTATAAAATAATTTTTTTTGCAAGTATTTTAAGGAGCTTTAATAGCTTGTGGTAACAGTCAAGCATTTTGTAATTTATAATAGTGCCTGAGGGAAAGAGGATGCTAGTAAAGTTTCAGAAATTTGGAAAGTGGTCTTAAAAATATTCTGTTTTCAGATAGAGTGGTTGGGAAAAGATCAAAAGAACACTCCTCCAAACTGTTATTCTTTCAAAAGTCTTCCTCACAAAAAAATACCAACACAGGCTTCTTAGTTACTCATTTAAGGAAGGTTTGGGGGGGTTTTCCACTTAAAAAAACACTTCAAAACTAGTTGGTTTGTTATGAACACAGTTTATCACACAGGAGGAATTTTCTGTGTCTAAACATAAAATGGTATACTTGCTGGCCAGTATTTTATTCTCACTACAGGAAGAGCTTTGTTTAAAAATAAATGAAGGACATAGATAAATATGCTGACATCCTGAAGATGTGACTTATCTTTCTGGTTTTGGTGAGAAGTATATCTTGGATTACTGACTTGATGGAAGAATTTTTTATTTATAGCTTATTCACCTTCTTTCTAACATGACATCTCATCTAAAAAAAAATGTAAAGAAAAAACCCCACAACATAAAACCCAAGTAAACAAACAAATAAAAACTTAAATACAGATATTCCTAATGAACAAATCAAGATGAAAGACTATAGTAATTGGAGCAATATCCTGATGTTAAAAAAACCCAACAAAAAATAACAAACAAAACAAAACAAAAACACAAAACAAACAAACAAACAAAAACCCACCAAAAAAACCAGAAAAAAAAAAACAGTAAAAAAAAAAAGGTAATTTTGTATACTGAGTCTAGTGATTCAGAGTTAATGTTCTTTGTAGAAACCCATATGGTGCTGTAGTTTGGATTTATGACTAAAGCAGAGTTGATAGAACAACAGTGTTTTGGCTACTGCTGAGTTGGGTTTGCACAACATCAAGGCTTTTTTTTCCTCCTCATAGGTCCCCATAGTGTGTAGACCAAGCATAGGCAGGATACTGGGAAGGGTCAAAACCTAAATACCTAACACAAATTGACTAAAAGGATATTTTGTATACCATATAACTTCCTGGTCAGCAATAAAAGATGAGGAGAGGGACTGAGAGACAAGTAGTCATTGCTTGGAGACTGGTTTCATTATCTACTTGAGGAATATGGTGAATTATTGCCTTTGCATCACTTAGGGTTTTTGTGCTTTTTTCTCGCCTCTTCACTTATTAAACTGTCTTTTGAGGAGTCTTTATTTTGGCCCAGGAGTTTTCTTGCATTTGCTCTGCCTGTTCTCTCCCCTTTATGCTGCTGCAGGCAGGGAAGGGAGGGAGTGAGCAGCTGTGCAGTGCTTGGCTTCTAGCTGGGTTCAGTCCACCACAAATCCCTTTTCTTCTTGTACTTTTAATAACTAATTTCATATTCACTCAAGTGATGGAATATTTCTTTTTTTCTTTAGACCCTGAATGTAGAAAATTACTTAGTCTTGAAAAATAGGTGTCTGTTTTGTAGTTTCAGAAAGTAGTCTGCATAACCTAAACTCTCTTCTTCAGTATCTTGAATATGAAAGTCACAGGGCACAATCCTTTTCCTGGTGCCCAGAGCAAGGTTCTGTCTAGCCCGTTTAGTGGATTGACCTTGGCTCGAGATCAAGTACCCACTAAAGCTGCTCTCTCACTTCCCTCAGCAACTGGACAGACGAGAGAAAAGAAAACGGTGAAGGATTCATGAGCTGAGATAAGAGCTGGGAGAGATTTACTGATCACCATCATGGGCAAAACAGACTTAAAGTGGGGATTAATTGAATTTATTACAAACAGGAGCAGAGCAAAAGAATGAGAAGTAAAATAATCTTAAAAACACCTTCACCCGATCCCTCTTTCTTTCCTAGTTCTACGTCCTTCCCCCATGCCGCAGGGAGACAGGGAATGAGGTTTGAGGTCAACTGTTGTTTCTGCCACTGCTCATAGAGTCCTTCACCTGCTCCCATGGGGTCCCTTCTACGGGAGACAGTCCCTGATGGACCTCTCCAATATGATTCCACCCCTCCGGCAGCAGTTCTTCCCAATCTGCTGTCCTGTGGGTCACTCTTCATGAAGTGTCGTCCTTCGCGGATGAGCTGTACTGGCAGGGGTCCCCCACAGGGATCAAGAGTCCTACCCAGGAAAAACCTGCTCCAGTGTGGGCTTCCCTCTCCACGGACTGCAGGTCCATGGCAAGACTCTGCTCCATCTTGGGTCTCCTACAGGGTCACAGCCTCCTTCATGCATCCACCTGCTCCAGCATGGGCTCCTCCATGGGCTGCAGGTGGGTCTCTGCACCCCGATGGCCCCCCATGGGCTGCAGGGGCACAGCTGCCCCACCATGGGCTGCACCACAGGCTGTGGGGCCTCAGCTCCAGCACCTGGAGCACCTCCTGCCTCTCATTCTGCACTGACCTTGGTGTCTGCCTTGTTGTTCCCATGTTCTCACCCCTCTCTTCCCTGGCAGGAATTCTTTCTGTGCTGCAACCTTCTGCTCTTAAGTATGTTATCACAGAGGAGTTACTATTACTCCTGACTGGCTCGGCCTTGGCCAGTGGCAGGAAGTCCATCCTGAAGCCAGCTGGCATTGGTTCCCCCATACAGGGGAAGCTTTTAGCAGCTTCTAACAGAAAGCCACGCCTGTACCTGCACCTGCTGCCAAAACCCAGCCACAGAAACCCACTACACCTGTTATCTGACCTGGACAGACAAGGATTCTTTTTAACCTGAGTGCCATATAGTTGGATCTTGACAGTGCTGTGTCTGATTGTGTGGTTTCTGGATTAGCACCAATTTTTATCCCATCATTTGGTCATGCATAATGGACAACTTTGACTGTTCATGTCTGTTTAAACTCTATTAAGTGATAAATAAAAAGTCCCACAGGGTGTATGTCAATGAATACTATTTTGAATATAAAGATTTTCCTTATAATTTTTAAATCTTTTAATAACAAACTCTGTTTGTTTTGATTCAGGCTGTCTGGAATGAATATACCTCCTCCAGTTATCAGCAACAAAAACTGGCTCAGACTACATTTTGTAACAGACAGCAATCATCGATACCGTGGATTTAGTGCTCACTACCAAGGTACATTTAAAGAAATACGTTTTTTGTTGTGGCTGTTTTTGTTAGGAAAAATAGTACCTGAAGTTTTAAAGGAAGTGGGAAGTGCCACTTAAAAAAAAATCCTTATAAAGGTATAGTTTGCTGCGCAAGCTGCTATATCAAATTACAGCATGTTAGAATATGGGTATTTTATTATCTAGTGTATCTAAATTCAGTTAAATAGAAGGAGATATGTGCTTTACTTTAGCCTGTGAAAGAACTTAGCTTTTAAAAAGGTCCTAATATTCTGGTCCTAATATTTCTGTGTAAGAGATACAGAAATAATGTTTTTATAATTAAATCGTGTAATTGACTCTATAGTTGTATAAGGTATGTTTGTAAAACAGTGGGTAAGTTTCTATTTGCTAATGTAGCATTTAGTCACTATTATCTCTTACTACCTATTTCTGACAGGTTTGCGCTATTAAAGGTTTAATTAACCTGTAAGATTCTTACCCACTGTTTTTACGAACAAGCAGTATTTTGAGTAAGTGAAATCATCTGAAGCATTAACTTGAGGATATCACCATTTGAAACGAGGTCATTTGAATGATGAAGTGCTAATGAAAACTGAACTTCATTAGTGTATGGTAATACTTTAAATAATATTTTTTCAATATCCACAGTGTACCAATGGATTTTCAGGGGACAGCAACCCTTTTTGTGTTTTTGTGCTTTTTTCCATTTATCTAAAGGAAAAAAAGTCATGGCATTCTTATCAGGATTTAGTTTAGAATTTTCTTTTATTTCTTATAGAAAGTATAGAATGGGAAGAGATTAGCTACATAAAGTTTTGCAGAATCTGATAAAATTAGTCAACTAATGTAAAAACTGTAACTAACAAAAGTCTATGACTATTTTTTTCATGAAATTAATCTTTGATAATAGTAAGTTTTACAACTCTGTCATTGCCTCAGATAGCCTATTTTATACAAGAACAGAAAATATTTGATTATTATTTTCAGCAAATACTATGTATCTCTCTATTTGGACTTCCTGCTTCATAGATGTTCTGGAATGTGCGTTCTCAATGAGTTTGCATGAAAGAAGCTTTCTTACTGTAGCTCCAGGGCTGCTATAACTCTTTATGAAGCGCACTGACTTGGTTTTTGCATGATATCTTTCATATCAGATATGATAAACCACACTCTTTGCTAGGAAATTTCTGTTTTACAGGACTGTTCAAAAATAGAAAGTAGGAACTTTCTCTATTAAATCTTCCCCACAATTGAGAAACTGTGTGATAACTATTTTGGTGGTTTGAGTGAAGTAGTTTGGATTGTTGAGCTGTTCATTTTGAACTCGTGAGGAAAAAAGAACAACCTGTGTCTCAGGTGGCACACATACATGCATTCCTGCTGAAAGTGTGAGCTAATAGGTAATGAAAGAGAGAGAGAGAGAACAGACTTTCAAAAATGTATTTTAAGCAAGACGCAAAAAACCTGTGAGTTGGTAGGTGTAGGAGATTTAAATGTGCTGTATGTCTTCTGTTTCTCTTTACTACCTGAGAATGTAGCGATTACATAATGGGGTTTTTACTATTGTTTTGGTTTGCTCATTTTATTTCTAATTGTTGAATGTGTTACTAAGTTGTCAAATGATCCAGTAGCTCACCATATGTAAAATGAAGGGAATGTCTTCTGCAACTCTCTAATAGAAATGTAAGCGGGAAAAATATTCAGCATGTTAAGGCATTAAGTGTGTGTACTCAAGCCTGTATGATCAATAAAAAAAAGCCTTGATAGCAGAAATGTAAAAATGCATGGTCAGATAATAGGGAGGAGTAGTTTCTGGGTCAGAGGTAGACTAAAGGGGAGACTGTGAGGAAATTAAATAAATATTATAGAATCATAAAACAGTTTGGGTTGGAAGGGGCCTTAAAGATCATCTAGTTCCAAGTTCCCTGCCATGGGCAGGGAACCTCTCATTAGATCAGGTTGCTCAAATCCTGCCATGAGCACTTTTAAGTATGGGATATATTAAAATTGTTTAATATATTTAGAAAACAAACAAAAATGTATAGCACAAAATATCTCAGTTTGATAAGAACTAAATCCTTACTTTTTTTTTTTTCAGTTAGAGACAACTTTAAACCTTCTTATAAAGACCATTTTCAAACATTAATTTCACTGCTGTGTTGGCATGAGTTTTCATAAAACCAAATAACTGATACAAATCCAAAAGAGATTTGTAAAAAGCCACGTAGTACAGGTGCCTGTTTTCTTTGCAAGACTTTATTTCTGCATCACTTTTGAGAGGGCACCTGTTAATCTTTCCATAGCCTGTATTATCACTGTATTACACAGTAATAACTGTAACTTCTGAGTTCCCTCCTTGAAACCTAATATTTCCTACGTAGTACTGTTATACCCAGAATTACTAATTTATTACTGCTTCATCTAGTTTAGTTTTCTGTAGACTATTACATTATATGAACAATATTTACATTTTCTGTAGCCTATTGTTACATTATATAACAATATTTAATGACTGACTGGGGTTTTGGAAAATAAAACAAATAATAAAACAAATACAAAAAACACCCCTCCTCTCCTCTTTTGTAGATTTAACTTCATTCTGATCACTTCTTCCCCTTCCTCTGTCCACCACAGGTTACACTTTGTCTCTGGTGATGGGCAGCGCAGGAGGTTCAGGTCAAGGTGTAGGAGTTAATTTCTGTTACTCCTCATTTCTTACTTCTTTCTTTTTCCATTTCTTCCCTCTTACTCATTCCTTCTGCTTTGATGTGCACTAACCATGGGCCACAGTCTCTTAGGGAAAGAACCTGCTCCAGTGTGGATTATCCATGGGCTCCAGTCCCTGGAGAGTTTTACTAACTCTGGAATGGAGCACACATGCTCTGACCTTGTTCCTTTCCTTCAGTGTTTGTTTCCTTAGCTTGAATACACCTTCACAGAGGTGCCACAAATTCTTCTGATGGACTGAGCTGAGTCCTGTGGTGGGTCCATTGTGGAGCCAGATGTGTCCAGCAATGCTAAGCATGGGACAGTGCCACGCCACCTGAGGGCAGAAGGCACATATGCGACCCCTTCACCCCCCTGCCACCAAACCCCTGGCATTTACACTAATTACAGTCTTATTCCCTTCTGTTCTCTTAAGTTTATGAAAGCTGGTTTTTTTTAAGATTCTTTTTCATAAGGCAGCCTCACATGGCCAAATTTCAGTATAATATCTGTAGCTACTGTGGCCTAGACATTTGAAAAGAAGACTAAAAGTGATGTAATGCAAAGTCAAAATATAATTGCCTATGGGGAAAAAAAAAAGGAAAAAAAGAAAAAAAAAGAAACAAAAAAACCCACCACCAACAACAAAAGAAAAAACCCAAACAAACCAAAGTGAAAAACAAAACACCACAACAGAAAACCTAGTACATTTTTGTAATTTTTTGTAAACACCCTTTTAGTTTAATTAATTAGCATATTTTCCTAATTTTCTTTTTAAGATCTTGCAAACAGGCAAATGCCTTTTCAGGCCTTTGAAAATTGTTAGATTGACTTATACAGAACAAATGAAATCTAGTGAGGTACATGAAACCAGGAAACTCTCAGCTTCATATAAGTATATAGCAGTAAAAGTTATGTGTATTACTTTCTTTTAATAGACATTTTATACTCATGAAAGATAATGATTTGTACAATATTTAAAAGACATTGATAATAATCAAAGTGATATGTGTCAATTAGAAGAGAATCAAAATGTTTCCCTATCCAGGTTGTGGTGTCATAACAAAGGCACACTTATTCTTGCTTGTCTGGTCATCTGTGTTTCAGCACTTCTTTCTATGCACTGAGGGGTCTTTGTCTTGTTTTCTCTTCTTGTCCCTTTGTTAAAACTCCATTTGATCAGAAACTGTTGGCTGAAGTAGAACAAAAGCTTCTTTGGATCCTCCTGAAGCAGCTGCTTTAATGTTTCTTGGAATGGTAATCCTCCTTTGCCGTTTCTAAAATTAGTTGAGCTTTTTTACTCCACCATTTGCAGTTACTTTTGGTTGCTGCTTTCTGTTGGTTACTTTCTGCACTCTGTCACTTATGTATGAATCCATGATATTGTTTAAATGGACAGAAGGGGTTAAGTTAACCTCACAGCATGTGCTCTTACACAAACTTCATACACTTGGCATACACAAACTTCAACCTTCTTTATATCTAGCATACCCAGACTCCGAAAGGGCTTTCAGAAAAAAAAAAAAAAACAACAACCATTTCATATTATGATAGTTAAACATTACTTTAATCATCTGTAACTTTGCTATCTTTTTAGATCCCACATCCTTTTCCTCTCGCTCTCTACCTTTCTGCTCCTCTAACGCTCTCGAAGGTTTCAATAGTACACTTGTCATTTATTTCACTTATGAAATCCATTTCTAAACTGATTTTACTCCTTCCCCTGTTCATTTGCTTCTGTTTAAGTCATATACAAACTAATGCCTCCACTATGAAGAAAATAGTACCAAATATGTAAAATATGTAAATTGAGTGCACAACTGCATTTACCTGCCATTAAGAATTTTTGTCTATCGGAAAATACAGATGATATAGAGCTGAGGTTAGATAAATGTAAAAGCTTTGAATGCAATATGGAGAAAACAGATGTTGAAAAGTTTCTTCTTGCTCTGCTTGATTTTCTATTGTTTTTTTCTTTTAGTTATTTTGTATATGAATATAAATGTATTTTCATTCAGAAATTATTTATGTAGTTAGACTTTCTTAATTTTTTTTTTTTTGTTGTTGTTGGTTTTGCTTTGAGAAAGAATTTGAAGCAATTGGCAATCAGGTAAAAAACAATAGCTAAGCTACCTCAGAACATCATGCCTACAGTTGCCAGAAGGAGAAAACTGTCTTTTATCACTTTTTACAGAACATTTAGCAATTTAAACATATTTTGTCATTCATTCCTCATCTCAAAAGCTATTGCAACAGACAGTACACGGTACTACTGCCAGAAAACTTAGCAGCTGTAAC